CTAGTTAAGAACACTTGAAAACTCGCCATTGAAATGTCTGTGCCTTTTGGAAGGGGCGGGAAGAAATGACCAATTTGATGCCATATTCCTTTTCCTTCCAGTAATCCTTTGTGGCCTGGTACCTGAGGCATGGGCAATAAAGTAGTATGTGGTTCTCAAATACAGGGAAAGGACAGGAGCTACAACCTGTTGATGAGAGCTACCAGGCATCTGTTCAGTGTATGTAGAATCACTCTCTACAAGAAAACTGTCTACTACTATTAACTTAGTTAGCAGTGAATTTAAAATAGTTAACCTGTAAAATAAAAATATCCTCTCAAATGTTACCTGATGAAGTAAATGCTGAAGTAAAGTCATTGGAAAAGTTTATAAACCTGTGAATTATATCAAAATAAGACAAAGGCAAACAAAAGGAAACTCTCTTCACAGAAAAATGGAGAAAGGTACTTTTGGGAAGTACAAATTACATTTCTGCACTGGCAGAAGAAAAGAAATCATTGTACCTGTGGAATATGTATCTGGAGTCACTGTACTTTATTGAGGAGCAAGGAATAAATTTAGGGTAAGATCATTTAGTTTATACCCATCATGTGAGCTACCTTTAGGATATTTCATTTAAATTTGATTCCTAGATAATTCGATAGTACTTTAGTGGAGACATAGAAGAGACCTAAATTACCTATGCAGTGAGTGACATGTATTTAGTCACTGCAAGTGTCATTTACCCTGATCATGATCACTAAATTATAAATTGGTAAACTGCTTTTCTCTGGGGTTGCATACAGATAAAAGCTTAGAGAACCTTGGTAAACAATGGTTAGGAGACCAATAAAAAACATGCATGTGTAACCATTATCAGTAGGATGTGACTATGCTGTGGTGATCTTCTATTTTGATGATTTCTTTTTTTTGCTTTCAAGATGTGAATGTCAAATTGTTATCTGTAGAGAAGAAGTGTTAGTACAAAATGAAAACTACGATCTCCACTTGTAAAATAAAGTTCTAAAATCTGATCTCAGAATGCCCACCCTCCAAAATAATAGCACCTTAAAAAAAATCAAAAGAATTGGGGCGCCTGGGTGGCTCAGTGGGTTAAAGCCTCTGCCTTCGGCCCAGGTCATGATCCCAGGGTCCTGGGATTGAGCCCCACATCGGGCTGTCTGCTCCGCAGGGAGCCTGCTTCCTCTTCTCTCTCTCTGCCTACTTGTGATCTCTGTCTGTCAAATAAATAAATAAAATCTTAAAAAAAAAAATCAAAAGAATTGGCTCCTTGAACCAGCATGAGCCACTTCTACCTAACACCATTTTTTTTTTGTAACCTTGAAGAATAAAACAATTAAATACATTAAAATTTATACAGGAATGTTGTATGCTATGTATGCACAGTCACACATACCTCTTTAAAATTCCACATTTTGTTTCTTTTATTTTTTTAAAAGATTTTATTTATTTACTTGACAGAGAGAGATCACAAGTAGCAGAGAGGCAGGCAGAGAGAGAGAGGGAAGCAGGCTCCCTGCTGAGCAGAGAGCCCCATGTAGGGCTCCATCCCAGGACCCTGAGACCATGACCTGAGCCGAAGGCAGAGGCTTAACCCACTGAGCCACCCAGGTGCCCCTAACTGGCAATTTTTAAAATGTGGAATTTGGGGGCACCTGGGTGGCTCAGTCAGTTAAGTCTCTGCCTTCGGCTCAGGTCAGGATTCCAGGGTTCTGGGATGGAGCCCCGCATCGGGCTCCCTGCTCAGCTGTGAGTTTTCCCTTTCCCTCACCCCTCCCTGTGCTCCTGTATGCGCTCTCTCTTGTTCACTCTCTCAAATAAATAAAATCTTTTTAAAAATTGCCCGTTAAAATTAGTGCCTTTTTTCCATGGCTTATCGTCGCGAGCAATGGGCAGTGGTTTCCATGACCTCACCTCTGCCCGTCTCATGTGTGGAGTCCAGTTGCCTTAGGTACCATCAGTGAGTCTTCATATTTTGAAGAGAATAATACAACTTTGAGGAAAGTAAGTTGGGTGGGTTAGATGTTATTCTTGAATTGTGTCACACGAACAGTAAAATGAAGCAACAGAGCCTGCTGCCACGGCGGTTAGGTAACAACAACGGTTTGGAAGCAGGCGACCTTTTGGTTCAGCAGCGTTTTATGATTTTTTTATATCCAGTTACGTCCCCGTCCAATTTTTTCTTTTCTTCTGGAAATTACTCAAATGTCATATATTCAAAACTGTAAGTGCAGGAAAAATTGGAGTTGCTAAAATCAGTGTTGCCCTGAGGCAGTGGTAAAAAAAATATATTTTTTTCATGAAGGAAATGTATTAATTATAGTGGAAACATTTTAAAAGGAACATTTAAGAAGCACTACTGTAGTGCTGCAGTTCCGTGTTTGTGTTTGAATTTAGTACATGTCATTTTTGATTCACTGAGTTTTATCTCATTTACAAAAATAGAAGTAACCTATAGAAAAAAGCTTGGTGATTGTGGAACTGCTTTTTCTTCTGCAAAAGGAAGGAAAAAGGCGAAGCTGGCAAAGTATGTGGGTTTTATAATGGAAAGAAGATGGTTCAAAGGAGCCCATGAATAAATGGTAGTTGTCCCACTTTACCAAACTGATGGAGTTATTTTGATAAACTTCCCAAGTGGCGAATTCATCCGTAATGGCAGTCATCACTGTCACAGTATGGCACTCACATGATTAATGGCATTATCGTCAATAAATTTAGTAAGAGTTTTTGCTTTATCAGAATAGTTTTCCAGAATAAGTCACATTAGTGACATCAGAAGACTCTGGGATTTCAAAAAAATCAAGTTTAGAAGTAGTTGATTAAAACTTAGAAATAAGGGTGCTTGGGTAGCTCTGTCGGTTAAGCATCTGCCTTTCGCTCAGGTCATGATCGCAGGGTCCTGGGATCAATCCCCACATCGGGCTCTCTGATCACCAGGCAGTCTGCTTCTCCCTCTGCCTACATAAAATCTTAAAAAAAAATTTTTTTTTATAATAAAACTTAGAAATCAGGCACCTGGATGAGTCAGTCAGTTGGGCATCCAATTAGTGGTTTTAGCTCAGGTCATCATCTTCCAGTCCTGGGATCCACCCCAGTCGGGCTCGACTCTGCTTAAGATTCTCTCTCCCTCTATTTCCCCCTGCCCCTCTCATCCTGTTCCCAGGCCTGTGTGCACACTTGCTCTCTCCCTCTCAAATAAATACTAAAATGAAATCTTTAAAACTTAGAAATCAGGGCACCTAGGTGGCTCAGTCGGCTAAGCAGCTGCCTTTGATTTGGGTCACAGTCCTGGGAGTACTGGGACCCAGCCCTGCGTCGGGCTCCTAGCTCAACAGGGAATCTGCCTCTCTCTTTCCCCGCCCCTCCACGCAGCTTGTGCTCTCTCTCTTGCTTGTGCTCTCTCTAATAAATAACTAAAACAAAAACAGAAATCAGAGTATTTTTTTTTTAAGATTTTATGTATTTATTTGTCAGAGAGAAAGAGCACAAACAAGGGAGCGGCAGGCAGAGGGAGAGCCCATGTAGGATTTGATCCCAGAATCCTGGGATCATGACCTGAGCTGAAGGCAGCCGCTTAACCAATTGAGCCAAAATCAGAATATTTAGAAGTAGATAAACATGAGAAGAAATTCAGTTGATCTTGATTGATTTTAGTGGAGTTGTAGAACTCTTCCCAACTGCCCATCATTAAAGAGTAGTGTGGATCTAACTGTGAAGTGTGTGTGGTTGGTGGTGGTGTTCATCCCACCAGACTTAATGATAGTGTTCTTTAGTTTATTTTACAGTTTAATTTAAATTCACAGAAAAGTACCAAATGTTGTGGGGCCCCATTTAGCCCAGAAATGCAGTGGGGTGACATGGTGAACCAGCTTGGCATTAAGAATTCAACAGAGGTAATATACAAAGTACATAATTGAGAGTCAACCCTGCATTCTAGTGACGGGTTATGTGCACATTTATGGTTAGTTTCTTTGAAGAGAAAGAGTGTTTATTCGGTTTTTAAAAATGAAAGAAAAGACTAAGAATAGCATTTTATTAGCCTTAGTATTTATATTACATTCTTGTCAGATTTACTTACAGCTTGTTTACGGGTGGTTTGTTTAATTATTCAAACGTGGTGAGCGTCTCATGTGCTGGATAGTGTACTGTCTGTGGTTCAAAGTAAAGAAGAATTTGTCCTTGGGCTTGAAAATGCTCTCGACTACTGACGGCTTTGCTTTTAAAAACTTGAGTTTTGACTTAGTCGTGGAATTGTATGGAAGACATTAGATTGGCCCATCCGAACTTAATTATAAAGTCTGTTAATCAGTCTTTATTATTTAAGGGTAATGTAGTTTGCTAATGCAGTTTCAAATACTGCCTCTCTCCTGCAGAAAATGTTAAAATTTCAGTTTTCATTAGCATGCTATTTGGAATTTTTTAAACCAAGTATTTATGCCCTTTCCAGGGAAATGATTTGATTCACCAGAATGAGAAGTCTCTCTTAGGAATAATCCAAATTTCTCTGTATTTCATCATCCTCATTTTCATAGGCCCGATTGTGACACCTTAAATTCCAGAAAAATCTTCATCGCAGAGCCCAGCAACTCCGAAGAATACTTAATCTGTCCCTTTAATAATTCTTGAACTGTGTGCGAAAAAGAACCCTATTTTTCCTAGGCTGCAGTTTTTTAAGCTATCTCCATTGGCAAGTTGTACGTAAGTAAGGTCTTAAACTAAGGAAACTCTCCAGGCAAACATTCCTATGCTCCAGTCATGTTGTTTTCTCTTTGCTGCTATGGATTTTGTCATCACTTAACCAAGTGCTTCTCTCCTGAATCTCAGATTACTTTTAGAGTATCAGATCCCATTAGGTACCCTTACATATCACAGTGATCAACACTGCCGTTTTTTTTTTTTTTTCGTATTGTATGACGGAATTGCAGGATATATGTAAGATGTACAAGTTACTTCTTTGCCTGTTGTCACTGACTTAATATCTCTTTCTTTTTTTCTTTTAGGTTGTTTGATGTATGCACAGTGTCACGAACAGACAGAGAAACCAAACTGACATTAGTGTTCGAACATGTCGATCAAGACTTGACCACTTACTTGGATAAAGTCCCGGAACCTGGCGTGCCCACTGAAACCATAAAGGTACCAAGAATCATCTCTCTGCTTGATTAAATAGTCACACTATTATAGTCCATTACTCAGTCACATTTCTTTCCTATGAAAATTGCCAGGGGGTGCCTAGCTGGTTCGGTCAGTGGAGCATGTGACTCTTGATCTCAGGGTCTCAGGGTGTAGAGCTTACTCTAAAAAAAAAATATTGCAAGAATTAGAGCTTTTGGAACTCTGTAGATAATTAAATGTACCAGCTAAGTGAGATGTTCAAAGAATGAGGTATATTCTAGCTCATTAATTATAGAGCTGAGTGAAAAAACCTTTGTGGTGTTAATACGTATTAAAATTTTTGAAAAGTATCTCTATGTACATTATCTGGCCCTAATCTTAGAAGGTATAGTGTCGTCAATATAGCTCAGTCTTTTTCTGATCATTCACAGACTCTGAGGGACATAATTTGAAACTTTGCCTTGAGCACGTTGCATATTGTAATTGTATAATGACTCCAGGACGTAAGTTATACTGTGTAAATCTGAAATACTGGTTCTTAGACCCTTGGTTCTCCATTTTTTTTTCTCACTCATGAAACACTTAGAGGAAGCCTCAGTGCCAGGTACGGTCCTAAACCCTTGGGATGCAGGAATGACTTAAGACTCCTTAGAGATCATCCAGAAGTTCTTTCTTCCTTCAACCCTAGCAGGAAAACCTACTTAGGAAATTTTGTTGGTCATACTTCCGTCCTGCTTAATGGAACTTCCCAGTATATCTCTTGGATCAGTGAGTGTCGTGGGTGGGCGGGTCTTTAAGATGACCTTTTCATTTATGTGTATTAGGTGACTTAATGAAACAGGCCCCTTACCTAATCATTCCATGTTTAGAAATGGGTTCTAAAATTTAGCATCATTTTAGATAAGAGGTAATAGCTGGAAATACTTTATGTGGAAATACTTTTATGGAAATACTTGACTTCTAGTGATAGCAAGGTGGTGTTTTCAGATGCTGACACATTTAGAACTTGATGCTGAATGATTTGTTCCTTTGGTTTTACGTTGATAAAGGATTTATGTTCCCATCTGCCTTTCATAAAAGAATATGATGCTCAGTAGTGTGCACTCGTCTCTTCCTGAGCAGTTTTAGGGACTTAAAGGCCCTTTAAATGTAGGAATTCCTGGAGCGCCTGGGTGACTCAGTCGGTTAAGTGTCCGATTCTTGATTTCCGCTCAGGTCATGATATCAGGGTCATGAGATCAAGCCCTGCGTTCAGCATGGAATCCACTTGAGATTAATCTGCCCCTTCCCCCCGCCCCCCAACCCCTTGCTGGCTCACTCTCTCTCTCTCTCTCTAAATGAATAAAATCTTAAAAAAAAAAAAAAATGTAGGTATTCCTTCTTACCTGTCTTGGCCCTCTTCTCCTCTATCCCTGCATCCCTCTTTCCTCTCACTTTCTTTCCAGTGTGGCTTCAGTGCTTTCCTCTATGAGTTTGTCTGAAACCCTATGTTCATCCCACAGGGCAGAGCCCCTTTTTGTGAACTTTGTTACCTGCCAAGTTAGACTCTGTGTGGTTCATGATTTCTTACCTGTGTCATCTTCCTCCTCACGGTCATTTCTTTGCTTCCCCCCCCCCCCCCCCCCGACACCAGTAACTATCTGCTGAACTACCAGGCCCACCCCAGATAGTTTTTGATCAACTTTCACAGCTGGATGTAATCTCATTGGTCTTAACAGCGCTTGTTCTACACATCTCCCCCTGTTGGTCCTATTTTCTACCTTTAATTGTGATTATTTATGTCCATATTCATTCATCTTTGTATCCTGACAGTAGCTACACAATGATTTTTACACATAGGTACTCAGTAGGTGAGACACATTGACAGCCTTTCTTCAGATGTAATTACTTCAAAATTATTTTTAGGAGGGCAGGAGGGGGAAATAATGCTGGTTATCAGAAGGTTTTGATGAGATGAACTGTTAAAAGTATTTCCAAGGGGGTGCCTGGGTGGCTCAGAGGGTTAAACCTCTGCCTTCGGCTCAGGTCATGATCCCAGGGTGCTGGGATCGAGCCCCGCATCGGGCTCTTTGCTCAGCGGGGAGCCTGCTTCCTCCTCTCTCTCTGCCTGCCTCTCTGCCTACTTGTGATCTCTCTCTCTGTCCAATAAATAAATAAAACCTTTTAAAAAAAAAAGGATTTCCAAGTTTTTCATCTATATCCTGGAAAAGGAAATGTCACTCATTCTGTATTGAACAGGAAGTTCTTCCAGAGTCTCTTAAATTTCTTCAGCCTTTAGGGGTAATACCCCCACTGATCATATAGAGACCAAGTTTGCTGGTAGAGGTGGAGGTGGAGGCAAGGGGGTCTGGTTATTTAAGGTTAGTGTTTAATCGTATATTGATGATTTCATAGTGAATTATGGAACACTTTAGGCAATTAATATAGATGTCAGTGGTTAATTGAACATTTTCCTAACTTAAAGGCTAATCAAAAGATCTCTTTTGTCTTCATCTTTAACTTTTAAAAATTTTCTGAACTATACTATGCTAATCTGCTTTTCTTCTTTATCAAGCATAAGAGTTTTAAAAGTAATTTGAGTGTTTGTGATCTGGTAAGGCCATTATTTAAAACATGAATAATCATGGTAAAAGCACTATAAAACCATTAGATGTATAGTTTTAGGCCTTATATGGAAATGATACAAAATTATTTTTAGTAAAAACTTGTATTTTTGTTCTTGTGATTGATTTCTTTTTTAAAGAGTTGGTATATAGGGGCGCCTGGGTAGCTCAGTCAGTTAAGCATCTGCCTTTGGCTCAGGTCGTGATCCCAGGGTCCTGAGACTGAGTTCTGCATCAGGCTCCCTGCTCAGTGGGGAGTCTGCTTCTCCCTCTGCCTGCTTCTCCCCCTGCTTGTGCTTGCTCTCTCTTTCTGTCTCTAACAAATAAACAAATAAAATCTTTAAAAAAAAAAAAAGTTGGTATATAGGATAAACATCTGCTAAGGAGGAGGTTCTGGTTAGTTGGGGTTCTGGTTAATTCAATTTGGTAAGGACTCAGTCAGAAAACAGAAAATATTTTGTTATATAGACTTATTTATAGGCAGTCTCAATAACTAGATAACTAAATCAAGAGAATATTGCTTTTATGAACAACCTGTTGGGAACACAGTCGGATTCTTACATAGAATGTTTTGTTGTAGTAAGAGTTTTTCTGAGTATATTGGTACAAATATTTATTGAATATTTAAGGAGAGTTTTGTGCCATCCTTTGGGGAACAACAAAAATGAATTAGCCAAGAAGCTTACTCTATACCCAGAAACATGCAGTACACATTTTCTTATGGTTGTTTCAATAGTTTAGGGAGTGTTTACAGGTAAAAAGAAAAAAACAAACAAACAAACAAGACTCGCTCATGAATGAGCACTGTCTACAGCTGATTCTTTGTATTATGGTACCAAAATATTTTCTAAAATGTTCTTTAAAAATGTAGATATTAGTACTGACATAGTCTTACAAGTGTCAGAACATGCCATACTATAAAATAATCATAAATATGCAAGAAAATCTTAACATGAAATAAATATAAAACAGAAATCAAGAAAAGACCTCCTGTAAGATCATTTAGGGTAAGGGAGTTTTCCTCAACACTCTGTCCTCTACCACGTTTTCTGGGGCACTGTTTACCTGTTACCCACTTAAGTTCAGGATACTCTGGTGCCCACTCAGGACATAAATTACAGGAGGTGAGCAGTACTTGGATAAAACTGAAATGTTCTTGTGGTCTCTGACTAGGTATGATAGAGGTCAAATCTTTTTGTTTAGTATTTTCATGAACAAAATAATTTGTTAGAAAAGAACCCAGGATGGGCTTATGTGATGTGCTTATTACATAGATCACATAACAATTTTTCAAATTCTTTTAAATACCATTTGTTAGCAACAACAACAAAAAGGGAAAAACACCCTGGAGCCCTACGTATTTGTGAAGGTTGATAGTTGGGTGAACTCACAGGGAATATTTTGCAATGACTAGGTGGTATTCACGTTAGGCTTTGATAAAGTAAGTGAAGTGTGGTAGAGGCCTGAACGGGAACTTGCCATTGAGAGGCTCATGAGAATAAAATAAAATCATGGGTGGTTCTTCCCAACATTTTAAAATACACTGTATTATAAAAATAAATAAATGCATACATACATCTAGTGCATACTTCATCTTGAGATCTTCATCACCTCTTCTTGACGTCGTAAGGCGCATGTGTTGGTGATGACAATGACATTTGCTTAGAGGAGCCTGTTGCCTGTTGTACTTTAAAGTCAGCAAATATTCATAGGCTTGTCATTGCCATATCTTGTTTTCATCTTTTAAATTCTGAATGTTATCTCTCAATGTACTTGATTATGGGGGGGAGTCAGTGCCATCTTTATTTTTCTTTGAGATTTGACATTGTCTTCGTAGACTTCCATGGTTAAACTTTAGGAGACAATAATTGACACCTTAATTATTATTATTTTTTTTTTTTAGGGTTCAAGATAAATTTAGAGTCTCTGTGCTTAGATAGCACTTTTCATTTATGAGGGCTTTATGAGAAAAAGGGGCTGCCAGATTTTTTTTTCTCTTTCATGCCTTTGTCAGCCGCCCTGTAAGAGGGAATCAGAAAGAACCTGTAAATAAAATCTGTCTTCTTGTTCCTTAACCATTGTAACTGCTACCCAGAAAATGAATTATATGGCAGGTTTGTATCAGGAGAGACTTCCATGTAAAGTCTTCTGTTTTATAGGGTTTTAAAATGAAATGCCCTGTTTTACTGAACTACTCATTTGGTGCTTAGGCTTGCCTGTAATAGTACAATGTATTTCCTAGTATATGGAATGGCTTCTCAACATCTTATAAACTCCTTCTTTGGACATTCTGTGCCTATAACATGTTTGTTGAAATTGGCAGTATAATTTCACAAGTAGAAATCCAAGGCACTGAAAGATCAGTCGGAAAAGATCAGCTGTCTCTCCAAAACAGGACAGGGTTCTTTTAGCTCGGGA